TTGCTTTGCTGGCTACGGTGTTGCATTGGTGGCTCATGTTCATTCTATGACTCTGTCACGACCCCCTGGTCTCTTTTGGTGTAATCTTATTGAATGGTGCAATCATAAGAATGGTGCAATCTTATTGAATAAATTTAGTCTACACATGCTCAGTCATACCTGCTTTGAAGTACATATATACATGTGAAAAAAAAGTCTTTACTGTTTTTGCTTGTGTTGAAACAAAAGGACTGCTAGAGGGATTACCTTCAGCTTCCTGAGCTGGTTCACAAACCAATCTCTTAATTTCAATTCCTTCCCTCCTCCATTTCTATTACAACACTTAACACATTATTCAATTAAGATATCTAAAACCCCCCCACTAACCTCTGGCTATGTATTTTTTGCCAGAATCAATTCTTTTTTTTTATTCCATTCACTGAATTGGCTGATGTGTTCATTTACAGAGGCAGCAAATTGTGTCTTCTCCATTTTATGAAGCACCAAACATCCAACGTTATTAGATTATGAATCCCTTGAGTGCTAATCACATATGAACAAACAGTTCTAAGTTTATGTGGTGGCAATTGTACTGTAGAAAACCTTCTACAGCCTTAGGTATATACATATGATTTATAACTGGCTAAACTCAATGTATCTGATAGTCAAGATATTTCGCTTAGTAAGGATACTGAAAAGGTCAAAGAAATGCTGTAAATACTGAAATTTTCCTTCATATTTATTATTTACCTAATTTAAAAAACAAAGTTTTTCTGTACATTGTTGGATATATACATGCACATCTTAGTATTTAATAGTAGCTGGGGCACTTCTATATAAGAGTATATTCAAGAATGAAGATTGTTAATATGTAGTTCAGGGTAGACTGCAGAATGCTTCAGTTTTTACTTCAGTAATTTCATAGCTATTTCCCAATTCCAGTATCCTGGGTAATTGTATTTTGTGGAGGATTTGTGGAGGAGTTGGACCATAAGCTAAATGTAAGCCTATGGTGGGCTATTGTTGCAAAAAAACAAAAAAAAAAGCCAACAGCATACTGGGGCATATTAAGGGAAGTAGTTCTTTTGGTCTATTCCGCACTGGCAAGACCTCACCTGGAGTACTGTGTCCAGTTTGGGCCCCCACACTTCAGGAAGTAAGTGGACAGATTGGAAAGAGTCCAGCAAATCATTAGAGGTCTGGGATACATGATTTAGGAAGAAAGTCTGAAAAAACCAGGACGGTTTAATCTGGGAAAGAAAAGACTGAGGGCTTGTTGGTCTAGGGGTATGATTCTTGCTTAGAGGGCCTGGGTTCAAATCATGGACAAGCCTGAATTATAGGAGATGTACAAACAGTAGAAGCAAGGGGCTATCACCAAGGAGGATTACACCTCTGTTGCTCAGGACTGGAAGGAGGCTGTTAGGAAGGCCAAGGCAGAGATGGAGCTAGGGCCAGTGACCAAAATTAAGGATAATAACAATTTATTTTTCAAATACATAGGCAGTAAGAAGGCAGCACCAGGTAATGTGAGGCCCCTACAGGACAGGCTTGGCAATCTAGTGATTGCGGCAAACGAAAAAGCTGACCTCTTTAACAAATTCTTTGCCTCCATATTCCTGAACAGAGACCAGGACATCTCCACCACTAGAATTGCAGACGGACCCAGAGGAGGCACTGCCATGCCTAGGGTCAGGGACGGCTGGACGTGTTTAAATCAGTAGGTCTAAATGCTCTTCACCCAAGGGTGCTGAGGGAATTGGCAGGGGTCATAGCGAGCCCCCCTCTATGAGCACTCATGGGGCACTGGCCAGGTACCAGAGGATTGGAAAAGGGCCAATGTGGTCCCCATTTACAAGAAGGGGAGAAAGGAGGACCCCGGCAATTATAGGCCAGTCAGTCTTACCTCGGTCCTTGGGAAGACCTTTGAGAAAATTATCAAGGAGCACGTCTGTGGGGGCCCAGCAAGGGAGGTAATGCTCAGGGGCAACTAACACAGGTTCATTGAGGGCAGGTCCTATCTGACTAACCTGGTCAGGCCACAAAGTCCCTGGACGAGGGTGTTGGGGTGGATGTCGTCTTCCTGGACTTTAAGAAGGCCTTTAACACCGTTTCCCACATTCTCTTAAAAGAACTAGGTGACTGTGGCATTGATGCCTACACAGTCAGATGGGTGGCAAACTGGCTAGATGGTCACACCCATGGGAGTGGTGGTGGACAAGTCATTTTCGACCTGGAGGGATGTGGGCAGTGGAGCCCCCAGGGCTCAGTCCTGGGGCCTGTAATGTGCAACATCTTTATCAGTGATCTGGATGTGGGTGCGGAATGCACGCTGTCCAAATTCACTGATGACACCAAGTTGTGGGGCGAGGTGGGCACGCTGGAGGGGAGGGACAGAATCCAGCTAGATCTAGACTGGTTACAGAGGTGGGCGGATGAGAATAGGATGGAATTCAACGCAGACTAGTGCAAGGTGCTGCAGCTAGAGAGAAGGACCCAGCAACAAACCTATAGGCTGGGGAACACCCTTCTTATCAACATGGTGGCTGAAAGGGATCTTGGAGTCATTGTTGACTCCAGGATGAACATGACCCGCCAATGCGAGGAAGCGGTCAATAAGGCTAATCGCACCTTGTCATGCATCTACAGATGCATCACAAGCAGGTCCAGGAAGGTGATCCTTCCCCTCTATGCAGCATTGGTCAGGCCACAGTTGGAGTACTGCATCCAGTTCTGGGCGCCGCACTTCAAGAGGGATGTGGCTAGCATTGACCACTTGTATGGTCAGGGGGCAGCGGGGCAAGCCCTATGAGGAGAGGCTAAATGGCCTGAACCTGGTCAGCCTCCACAAGAGAAGGCTGAGAGGGGATCTGGTGGCCATGTACAAACTCATCAGGGGGGACCAGTGGGATTTGGGGGAGGTTCCGTTCCCCCGGCACCACCTGGGGTAACTAGGAATAATGGCCACAAACTGTTAGAGAGAAGGTTCAGGCTGGACATCAGGAGACATTACTTTACGGTTAGGGCTGCCAGGCTCTGGAATGGGCTCCCAAAGGAGGTGGTGCTCTCCCCTACCTTGGGGGTCTTCAAGACTGCCAGGCTCTGGTATGGGCTCCCAAGTGAGGTAGTGCTCTCTCCTACCTTGGGGGTCTTCAAGAGGAAGCTGGACAGGTATTTGGCTGGGGTGATATGACCCCGGCACCCATTCCTGCCTGGGGCAAGGGGTCAGACCTGATGATCTGTTTAGGTTCCTTCCAGCCCTAAGCACTATGATATTATGAGTGGGGGATGTGATAATAGTATTCTAATATAATAAAGGGCTTAGTCTGTCTGTTTGTACAATTGCACAAGCACCGATTAGCCGGGTGGCTGGGGGCAGGGCCAGCTGAGTTAAAATGGGAGCCCCTCTGTTGGCCCCACCTCCTCCTGCAGCCTCTGGTGCAGGGGCTCCCTCCACAGAGGCAAAATAAATGTAGGTAGAGCATTTTAAAAGTGGTGGGGCCAACTGAGGAAAAGCAAGAGCCCCTCTGTCGTAGTGGGGTTGGACCTGAAGCGGGGGAGAGGGGGAGCAGGGTCAGACCCAAGCCAGGGGGAAAGGGTGGGGTGGGGTCAGACCCAAACTGGGGGGAGGGGGGAAGCGGGGTATCCAAACTGGGGGTGAGGGAGGAAGGAGCAGGGTTAGACCTGAATGGGGGTGAGGGGGGTGTGGCAGGGTCAGACCTAAAGCAGGGGGGAGCGGGGTCAGACCCGAATTGGAGGGTGGGGTTGGACCCAAAAGGGGGAGAGGGGATGGAGCACAGTCGGACCCAAACCAGGGTGTGGGGGGCAGGGTCGGACCTGAAAGAGAGGGCATGGATCTGACGTGGGACGGGGAGGGGGGCACAGGGCCGGACGCAGGGGGGGGTGTGGCAGGGTCAGACCTAAAGCAGGGGGGAGCGGGGTCAGACCCGAATTGGAGGGTGGGGTTGGACCCAAAAGGGGGAGAGGGGATGGAGCACAGTCGGACCCAAACCAGGGTGTGGGGGGCAGGGTCGGACCTGAAAGAGAGGGCATGGATCTGACGTGGGACGGGGAGGGGGGCACAGGGCCGGACGCAGGGCTCTGCCCCTGCTGGCCCTGCTTCTCCCATCATTCTTGATGGACAAGTTGATAGTTTGAAATAACCAGGGATATATTTGATAGCCGTGTTGGTCTGAGACAAAAAGAAATTGAAAACTCTAGAATTCTTGGTTCAGAGATAATAGCTTTTATTAGACCAACTAAGAAACTGCTGAGACTGATGTAGCTCATGCTTCCTTTTCAATGCTGAAATATGCTTATCAAGACTCTAGAATTGTATAAAGATGGGTTTTCTTTGCAATTTCTTAGTTGGTCTAATAAAAGGTCTCTGAACCAAGAATTCTAGAGTTTTGCTTTTCTTTTTTAAATAACCTGGTATTTGAAATACTTGAAGTGTGATTATAAAGAGGATGAGATATACTTTTCTCCATGGCCACAGGGGACAGGACTAGGAGTAATGGCCTCAAACCACGGTAGAGGACATTTATTTAAGTTGAAGATTAAAAAGAACTTTCTAAGTATGAGGGAAGCTGTGGAATTGCCATCCCTTGAAATTTTCAGGAGCAGGTAGTCAAACATTTGACTGGGATGGCTTAGTCAGGGATGATCCTGCTTTGATCGGGGTGCTGGACTAGATGACTTTGTGAAGTCCCTTCCAATTCTAGTTTCCTATGTTCCTATTATTTTTTTATCAATGTCACATGTATGGTTGCCTGTTAATTATATATATTTGTTAAAGACTGTTCCTTGTCATAGGATCTTACAGCGTAAGATCTGGGTGCTGAGTGTTCTCAGCTCCCCCTGGCCTTGTCAGAGGCTTAAGTACAACATTAAAGTTACAAAAAGGTAACTTCAGGCAAGGGAAATATTAGACCCTTGCTTGTGGGTCTACACAGTATGAAACGTTTCATTTTAATTTCTTTAATTAAGAAAAAAAAGAATGAAAGAAAACAGTTGTACAGCGTAATTTGAAGCAACCATTTACAAGTAGGAAAAATGACTGTTTATTGGAAAACAATTCTGAACACTGGAAAGTACAGATTCCATACTACAGCTCAGCTATCCAGGTTGTAGCCGTATTGGTCTAGAGGAAAAGGCAATCAGGACTTGTACTAGAGATGATATCTTTTATTAGACCAACAAGATTTACAACTCATACTTTTCTCATTTAATGCTCTCACATACTACAACTCAACTTTTCTTTTTTAGGGCAAAACTTTAAAGCATCAGATCTGCCTAAGGCAGCTTTATTTTATATACATGTTAGAAAAGGTTTGCTTTAATATGCATATGCTTTTACTTTTGAGTTTGAATTATTGTAAAATATTAAATTATGAATAAGTTTTCCCAGCAATCCTGTCCCTTTGAGATTTGTACATTTCTTTGGGTTACAGTCTACTATTTATGAAAAGGTGAAAGCAGTAGTGGTTGTGAAAAGAATGGATTTATGTGTTTCATCTCTTTTTAAACAGATATGCAGATATAGAGACATCTTATTTGGAGTAGGTCTGTACAAAAATACCTTTTAAGCTGATGGGTATTTCGCATTAAAAAAAATCAAGTACACTAATGACAGGATATGACCCTAACTCTGTGAAACAGCAGAAATATTATTCTCTTTCTTTCTATAATTTTTTCACCGACTAGAGTACAATTAATACATCTTATTTAAAATGAAGGGTGGAGATTCTCTCAAAGTTATTTCTGTTTAAATGAAAACTGGACATCTATACTCTCTGTGCATCTAATGTCCCTCTGAACTGCATCTTTGAAAAGCTTAGTCACACACTTTGCAGAGCAGAATTAAACATCCATTCTAGGCCTATATCTTAGATCTAAATTTGCTTTCTTTCAATACATCAGATTGATTTGTTAATAAAGTCTTCAAGATAAATTATTTTTCCATCTAAGATACCTTATTCATGATTGTGTAAAAAGAACCTATATAATATCACAATGTTACTAGACTTACATTTATTAGATTTTCTAATACATTTGAGAAAACAAATTGATATTGTTTATAATATTTCTGGTGGCATCAAAAATAGTGAAAAAGAAACAGCTTATTTACATATGAATATTCTCCTTTTATGTTAAATCCCTGAAATTGTTTTGGAAACAAATGTGATTGTAAAAATGGATACCCTGCTGAAATTAATTCATTTTGTAGTAAAGTGCTCGATTTTCTATCCAAAGAATAACATCTACTGATCACATCACACAGCCTAATATTTGCCCATGATTTCAGCTACATCCGTCATAGATTTTGTGAGTTTCCTCATCGAACTTGCCATTTTGGAGATTTCCTGCCACTTTTCTGACTGAAGAGACTGATGTAACTCATGCTTCCTTTTCAATGCTGAAATATTCTCATCAAGCTGCAGCATCATAGCTGAGGCTTGAGAAAGTTTACTGTCCCTCCCAACAAGCTGTAATGAGGGAAACGTAAGTTGAAACAAAAAATGGTCAAATGGAATAAAACTAAATTATTTCAATTTCTAAATTCTGATGAAACCTGCACGTGTGCATTTTTAGGTTGCAGTTTTTAAAGACATACAGTAATCAAATGCAAATACGTAGTTTTATTAGAAATATTTCATATATATCACAAGATTTTTTTTAAATCTCCTAATGACATGCATACTAAAGTCATAACATTCAATTTAGTGAAAACCTTAAGTGGTTTACAACCTTTACTTGTTTTATGTTATCAACCTTACATCCTTTCTGCTGAAATTAAGGGCATGGCACTGCAAGATGTGCTAGGCGCCAAAGTGACAATTTTTGCCCAATCTGGTCTCTGAAATAGCTCTACAGCTGTGACCACACAAGTGCATGTTTGCTGAACACTTTAAAAGGGTCCAATCCTGCCACAATCTGAACCCTCATTACATAAGGGTTGAGATGAAGGCACTCCCATGTGAAGTGCCTTCATTAACTTCTGTCTGCATGTGCCGGAAACAGAGCTCAGCAGATGTAGCCCAGCTCTGTTCCTGTTGCTGTTTTCAGAATGGGAGGGGGGAAGGGAGTGAAGAGAGTTCATTCTGGGGGTTGCCCAGCTGGTGCTGGAGGGTGTGGCAGGTAGATTGGAGCCCCCACTCTGCACTCCCCTGATGCACCTTCTCTCCCTGGATGGGCTCTAAATTAAAGCTCAATCACTCACCCACCCTCCCAACCCAACAGCTGATGTGTGTTGAGTCAGGAAGATCAGTCTAACTTATGGTGCCTTCTGTAAAGCTCCATGAATTAGGTCTGGGAGCTGCATTTCTGTCTGTGCCTGCTGAGTGCGCTCAACTCTCATTAATTTCCTGCTGTATAATGAGACAGAACTGTGGTACATGACTCACACCCATCACAAGCAGGTAGTCTCAGAATGAACAGCATTTTGGCACAGATTTTCAGTTATCTAGGCTATATGATCATGCATTAAATAAACCTACAGCACATATCTGAAGTGACATCATGGGAAAAACGGCAACTCACAATGAATGTGGAAGTTTATCTAGTGTAAAAAAATTAGATTTGTCAACTTTGAGAGATAAGGGCTTTCTAGTTACAGACATGGATGGGAAATGCCAGGGTGATACTGGACAGTTTTTATTTCAACCTATGAAGGTGGAAGACATCAGGATATCTTGCTTTTGCACAGAGTACTAGTCATTCACTTCCTCACATTAAAAGTTCTTTATTAGTTTGCATTTAAGTTAAATTTTTAATATCTACTTGATGTTAATTTGTTAACATCTTCAAAATGAAAATAAAGTACACTTTGTAAAGTTACCATTTGCAATTTCTCATATATATTTGTATCCAAAGTATACTTAATAATTATCACAGTTTTGCAAATTAAAATACACAAGATAACATAAAATATCTGTGTGTCAGGATACAACAAACAACAGTAACTAAGCAGTTCTTTAGACTGTAAGCTCCTTGGGACAGGTTTTCTTTTAGTTCAGGTTTGCACAGTATCTAGCATACTGGGGTCCTGGTAACTGAAGCAATACAGATGATAAATAATGATTATTGTGTATGTGATTCAATCCTATTACTAGATTCACCTTCTCTGTACTTAATGGAGAATGCATCTGGAAAGGGGTGGAAGGGGGTGCTTCCAAGTCTAGTCTCCATTGGAGCTTTGAATGAAAAGGAAAGTCTGAATGGTGGCCAGGGCATCACAGAAACCCAGGAAACCTGCAGTAAGGGTATGCTGGATCAGATCATAACATTCCCACTTATTTCAATAAAATTTGGAATGGGTTCTAACTTCATTGCATAAATTAAATAAAGTAATTTACCTGGTTTTGTAAATTAGATACAAGATCAATCAATAAAGCTTTATCTCTTTGCAGTTCAATATTATCTTGTTCCTCTTTAGCCAGCATACCCTTCAGTTCAGCTGTTCGACTATTCATTGTTGCAATACTTAAGTCAAGAGATGTTCTTCCTTTTTCCAAAATATGAATCTGCGAGAACAAGCCAAAACAAGCAGCAAAGATGTAGGTTTAACTATATTAAATAGTGGTCAGTAATTATATTCTATATAGACATAAGACCCCACCCACAAGCTTGAATCAATCTCAAATACAATTGACAGTTTACATAAAGCAAAAAAAATCTTCCTATCATGCAAGCTTTTTGAACACCGGAGATTATGCCACTTTCCTCATATTCTGTTTATTTAAAAGTCAATTTTAAATAATGTAAAGACATTCAAGCTTGGGATCTTTCTGGGATAACTTATCTATATTCAGGAATTGAACTTTGGTCTTCTTTTCCTCACTTCTGGATTATAAAGCAGCCATTTTTTTCATATATCCCTATCCAAAACAGCCACCATCAGCACTTTCTGTCTGTGATAACATTTAAGAGCACTATCAATAGGAGTGTTCAATAACAGCAACTCACTGCCTCTTTACTCCTACCCAGAAGACCCATCACTTTTGTTGGTACCCTGCTTGCCTGTGACATGAGAATGCTGAAGTACTTTCCAATTTCAGTTATTTTTATGTACAGCAGTTACATTGGCAATCAACAGTGGGTTTATTTGCAAATTAATAGCAGAACAACCTGTAATCAACAAACAAAACAAAAAACCCAAAACCCTCTAGAGGGTTAGAGCCAGCCATCCCTGTTTGGTTGACTCATCTGTGAAGGGTGCCATCTGTGTAGAGAGCTCAGATTGATCAGCAGAAGAAAGACAATCTCCTGCAGTCCCTGAAGCTGGAGAATTGAGGAGAAAGAGGTGTCAAGCTTTTTAGCAGCAAGAAATAAAAGCTCCTGGAAATTAAGATGGGCAGAAGAACTTTATTGTGTAGATATTTTGTCTACTGTTTTATACCTGTGTTAGTAAACTGTGCCCTTAGGGAATGGTCCTGAATGAGTGTTTGGTATTGTATTAATTATTTGTGGGCTGGTGACATAGGTCAGGTAATCTACAGCATTATTATGTTAGCACACAAGAAACTAAAGTTCAGAGGGCAAGAAAAAATGCTTCTACTTCATGGCAGAGCACTAAACTGTCTGAACAACAAAACCAAACCACTGGTAGTATCTCTGTTGGAGTCTGCATATTCTGCCCTGATAGGGTCAGTACAATGAGAGTAGGGGTTAAAGTGAAACAGGAAACAGTGATGCTACATGATGACCCCAGAACAAGAGACTAAGGCAGAAAGAGAGTACTCCAATGGGAAAACCTTTGACTGTAAAAGAGAGAATGTGGTCTAGAGGTCCATGACCATTGAACAGTAAATAAAATTACACCAAATTGAAAACACCAGCACATTTCTGATTCATGGTCAGCAGTTCCAGACACTGAAAAAGAAATTACAATCGAGTCTGTCTTCAATAAGATAAACAGACCACTATGAGCTTTTGAAGTAAATGAAAATAATCTTGTTAACACAACTTTGTTAACACAACTTTGTTACAAATGTGGGAGGTCCCCAGCCAGCCACAGTGCTGGTCTTCCACTGCCTCTGGGCATGCCGCCCACCTATCTCGCCTGCCATGCCTTGTTATTAAATAATTAAGGTCTTAATTAGGCAGGAGGCTGCCCACTGAATGCCCTGTTCTCCTGGGCCTATGTATGCAGCTCCAACCACCCCTGTACTGCATCCAAAGCCTAGCAGATGTTTCTAACAGCTGTGCTTTGCTCTGGCCTGAGGCCAGGTCCAACTCAGCACAATGTTAGGCCTCTTGCGTTCTGCACTATCATGGACCACACTTGTACCGCCTCCCTCTCATTGAGGCCTCTCTCACTCCACCGGCTCTCACCCTGTCTCTTTCATACTTCCCTTGCTAGGCCTCACTCAAACTGCCTCCCTTTCCCTGGGGCCACACTCACCCTGCCCTCACCTGGAGGGTCCTCAGGCTTGGTTCCCTTCCCTCCCCAGCCAACAATCACACAGCCTTTTGAGCATCTCCCACCACCCTCATCTGAATGAGCTCTGGACGGTTTGCAAAACACTGGTCTGACTCTAGTCTCTTGCCAGGTCACTCACCCAGCTGCTCTCAATCAAGGGGCTCATGACTCACCCCATTGTTCATCTCTCCTCCTCTGCCATCCCCCAATTGGCCTCAGGTGCCTAAAGGCTTACCTGGACCTAACTAGGTCCCCTGTTAGCAGGATCTATACTCAAGTGCCCTGCTCACAGGGACGCAGCTCACGCCCCTCTCTCGCAGGGCCTTATCTCAGCTCAGGCCCCTTACTTGCAGGGCGTCCCAAATACCTCTCTACTCACTCCTCTCTCCAGGGCCTCACCATGGCCCCTCTTGTGCAGGCCTTCGAGTACCCCTCTGCACCCCACTCTGCACCTCCGCCTCCACTAAGCCACATCCTCCACCCTCTTCTCTGAGGCCTGGTGTAGAACACCCCTGCAGGCTCAGGTGCCACTCTTTGGTTTGCCTGGCCCAAACCGCTCACTCTCCAGGGTCTTACACCCCACACGGGCTCAGGTGGCCATAGCCATGCTTGGCCCCACTACCCACTTTGGGCCTTGCACCCCAACAGGCTCAGGTGTCCCACATGGACATACCTGGACCAGCTCTCTCTGATGTTAGTAGTAATCCACCAGATGGTGGGAGCAGGGGTTATTAAAGTGCCCCGAACAGCCTTTCACCATGATTGTCCTCGCACCTGGCATTTGCTGGCCCTGCCCCACCACAGGAAGGACCACCAGGCCTCCCTATCACGGCAGGGTGCAGTTTTAGGTCATGCCTGGGACTAGGAACCTTCAACCCACCTCATAGCTCCTGCCCTTACCTCTGTACCGTCTGTGGAACAGCAGCTCCACTGGGAGATGTGCGTTCCTCAGCACTAGGCAGCAACTGCTGCCTCCAGCCCTGCTGGCCTGAGGCTTAAGATGGCCGCTCGCCAGGCCACTCATCTGTCTCCTGCCTGCCCCAGTTCTTACAGTGGCAGAGCACCCCGAGTGCCCCGACACCCACCTTCCCCCTTAATATGGTTCCTGGGGAGGGTTCTCCCTGCTGCTCAGTCACCAAGCTCCCCCAGAGCTTGCCACATCCCTAAGTGGTGCTCCACCACATACTTCTTAACAAAAGAATCTTACAGCTAAGAATCATCCCTCATCTTCGAATAATGAAGATGCATTTAGAAAATCAGTTTAGTTACAGACTACCTTTTCCATAAGGTCTTGGAAGTTGTTCTTTTCTTTCATCAAAAGCTCTTGGTGTCTCTTGATTTCACGCTGTAGATCCTCTTCATGGTCCTTCATGGTTAGAAGCTGAGTAATGCTGGAAGAATGTGATGTATAGCTTTCTTCCCCGAGTGCTCTCTCCTGAAATGCATTGTAAAAACATAGCTTCATTAAAATCTACTAAAACACAATTAATTCATTCTCAAAAGCTTAGTATCTTTCAGCTGTGGATTGAATATGCACATGTCCACAATGAAATGTGCTATGCTAAGGATCAACACCAAGACAATGAACTTCCATGAAGACTTAAACAGCAAACCCTCTTGCAAAAAAACTGATAAAAGGAAACACTTCAAATAAATACTTCTAATCCATTTTAATACCTAATAAAAAATAAGCTAATCTCCCATTGATAGTGACATGGGCTAGGGACTACTCTATTAGTTGTTTGCAAGCAGCACCCCATCTTCACATTGGATTGGGTAGTCCACTAACTAAACAATGGCTGTAATACTGCCCTTCTAAATTTGTCATTTGATCTTGTGACCAGGTCAAAGAAAACATGTTCAACAAAAGTTACGGAATTACTCCAAGTGGCTTCTTTGCAGATCTCAGATATGTTCATATTTCTGGAGCAGGCAAATGAAGAATTCTGGGCTCTAGGTCAATGAGCTTTAGTATTTGGAGAAACAAATGTATCAGCTATACAATACATTATTGATATACATGCAATAATTCATTTAAATATTCTCCAGGAAGAAATGTCTCATCTATTAGACATAGTAAAAACATCAAGGAAAAGGCAGGATTATCTAAACAGCTTTATCTTCTTCAAGAAAAATGTAACCATGAAGTTTCCTCACTCTGGAAAAGGATAGGGTTATGGAAAGAAAAGACAAAAAAATGTCCATCTTGAAGGAAAGTTTGACTTTTGCTGAATTAAGTAACAGTCCTGGAAGCTTCAGATCCTGAATGGAAATTAAGGATCTGGGGAACAGGAACACCCAATTGATCAAGGTTGTGGTTACTACCCAAACTGAAAATCCTGAGGAATAAGGTTTATTTTGCAGTGTGATTTCTTGTTACTGGAAAGAACAGCCTATCAACAGAACTCAACCAGTCAGCCATCTGCCCTGCGTATAAGGTACAGATTGTGTTTTGATACTACATCTAGTCAGCAGGTGCATAGCAAGCCAAAATTACTTTTGTTAGAGGTCTGTTAATTCAGAATGTCCTTGGTCAAACAGGAGCTATCAAGATCAAAAGTCCCTTTTCAGCTTCCTATATCACTCTGTATATTAGATGTGAGCCTAATCTCATGGCATACAAAAATATTTTGGACTCTGGCCCTACTGGACCAAAACAACTAAATCAAACCAAATAGAATTACTATGTGTTCTTTTTGGTGGTGAACACATTTATAATGGGGTTTCCATACTGTTCACTTATCAGTCTGAAGATACCATTCATGATTGGAAACAGACTTGCTGCTGAGAAAATCTGCCAGAACTTGGCTCTTCTAGCTCCTGGAAGTTGAGTAGTTGGAGTTATCCCATAAAACTAAACAATGTCTTTAGTCTGTGACCACATTTAAGAACACTTGCATAGTCTGAGTGCCTCTTAGCCTAGAGCCTTCAATGCCAAACCAAATTCTGAAATCAGCATCATGTTTAAAGCCTTTGTATTCTTCATTTTAAGCAGCTGTGGTTCAAAACCTTCAGAAAAAATATGTTTTCAAACAAAAAAATATATTTAATGAAAAAAATAAAGATGAAAAAGGGGAATCAATTCTATTCAGCCATGAGAGGCTAGGTTTGGAAAATGTACTGAAGGGCACTATGCAGACACAGACTGATTCACTTTTACTGTCATGGGCAACTTAGAGACAACTGTGGTTGCAATGACATTTGTGCCTCTTGTCACAACCCAATTAAATTGTGCCCATGTCACTAAGCAAGAGATACCATTCAAATCATCCTCATTTTGACGACTAAGGGTTAAAAGACATCCCTGCCAAAAATTCCTTGAAACAAAACGTGGCCGGAGTACTGTAGATAATTGGTCAGCTGAAATAAAATGCTAGGGGAAACTATATATAATTGGTCCAAAGATAAACGTAAGCTCCTCACACATAGCACACACGTAACAGGTAGAGAAACCTAACCCACTACCTTGTAACCTGAGGAGACAAAGAGCTGCCACCTGCCAAAAAATTAAAGATTCCATATAACGGTTCACCATTGGATATTCCTGTAAAACACCTCTGCCTATAAATAGTTTAACGGTTTCCGCCCAAGTCGGAGAGCTCTGGGGATCTCACAGGAAACACCTGTGCTTGTCACCAGAGAATTGGGAAATTGATCAATTCCCAATCAATCGCCCCGTCAGCGTAAAATATTGACATAGAAAGTCTTGCAAGCGCGACCGTACGTTCCCAGCGCCACGTCCGTCGTTATCTCGTTGTAACCTAACTGCGTGCGTGTACTCGACTCTGTAACCGAAGTTATATGCGTATACTCAATTCTGTAACCGAAGCTGTAACGGAACAAAGGCTCGCCTGCGTCGTCCATCACTATCTAGGCGACGTAAGTAAACAAACTCCTGTAACCTACACGTGTCTGTGCCTGGTTAATTCCACTCCATCCATCACTACCCGCCTGCCGAGCTCTAAATCTAAACACTCTGGTGTGTGTCAGGCGGCTGCCGGCGGCTGCTCTGATTCACGACACCTCTGTGAATGATGATGCCAAGGATGCACACCAACAGACTCTGATATACAAATTTTCTGATCTGCTATCATCATCAAAGTGCAAAAAAGATACCAACTCCAAGTATCAGGAAGATTCAACAAGAGTCTGAATATTTAAATAAAAATGAGGGAATTGCATAATTATGTGCCTGCATTTCAAAACAATGAATGTTTTGTCCCTCCAGAAATAGAAAGGAAGAAAGAATTTAACTGGCCATTTATTTACCTTCAGAAGTTTACAGATACCATTTAATTTGGATCAGATGTCCTACAGAGTTGCAAACAATAAACATGAACTTAGTAAAGTCTGAACATTACTGCATGGCAAAAATATGTATTTTTAACATAATGCATTGGAAAAGCACCATCAGGTTAGTTCAGTCTATGTAATCTCCTAAATCTTAACTTTATGAATTTTATTAAAACTTTAACTTATCTCTTAAATTTTAATTTTATGTAGGATGTACTGCTCTTTCCGTATCCTATCCTTACTATGTCCAGTTGCTTTTTTAGCTCCAAGAGCTGGGATCTCAGCATAGTATTTTCTTTGGTCAGGGATGCATAATCACCCATAATTTTGTTTCTTAAGAAACGATCCTGCTCTGCCAGTAGCTCTCTCTCTCGCACTTGCTGATGAAGAAAACTTATCTCACCTCTAATCAAAGAGAGAGAGAAAGGCTTATTATTATTTTAAAAAATTCCATCTGAGCATTACTAAGAAGCCATATGCTTTTTAAAAATTATGCACATTACAATATTACAAAAAACTGGTCAGGTCTTAAAGATAGGACATTTCATGCAGATTTCTCAAATGCTATGAATAATTTAATCAAAATCCAGCATTTTTCATAAACAGTATATGCAACATCTGTCAAAAAACCAAATGAACTTGTTGAGTTCTATTATCAAAATCTATCTATGCCTATTAAATAACAATAAATTCTAAAAACGGGGTTGACTCACTAGCAAGGCACATCTTGCTCGTAGGAGGTACCCTGCGGTAACAATGGAGAATTACTTCATAATGCACATACACGCGCGCATTCTTTTTCTCTCAAAACAGAGAGCAAGGAAATTAGCAAGACTCAAATATTTAAATATATATGACATCATTTAAAAACTCCTAGGACACTAAAGTTATAGAATTATTTCTAAATTAAAAAAATTGAAAAGTATTACAGACATCGACCGTATATAAGAAAACCAAAGAGCATGCTACCGTGTGAAAGTTCTACAAGTGTGAAGGTGTGTACGTTTGTAGTATCAATCTTAAAAATCATTTTGATTCAATATTTTAGGGCCAGATCTTACTACTTTATGAACCTCAACTGGTGTAGAGCAGCAAGGGTATAGCAGACAGTTAAGCAGCTGTTGCCCAACACCAGAAAAACAAAAAAGCAGCTGGAGGGTACATTGTATTTTTCCTCTACTACTTGCATCCTAGGCACATCTGTAGCTTTCTGCCCTTCCTGCTTATTCTCTCAAGCACTGAACTATTCAATTCAGAGCAAAAAGTTCACTCCTCCTCCCCTGATCCTTCTATTTGTTTTTGTAGTATAAGTGGGATTTGTTTCATGTTAAGCTGTATCAACTTCTTTCTGGTCAGTCTCAGAGGTATATGATTTATGGCTGTTCTTCTGCTGGTGACACGGCATAAAGATCTGAGAGTACACTGGCCTGTCCCCACTAATAATTCAATCTCCAGATGTAGTCAGTTCTAGATGCTGAAGTGAGAGGGGCATTAGAAATAAATAATTATGTGGACAGTGTACAGCTTTCCCTTTACAGAAAGCTATGAGCAGTTAGGGATGGGGTAGCAGTAAAGAGACTGGTTACAGAAAACTTGATACCTGTTGGAGTGCAGGAGGGTCATCCAGAACAAAAACAGGGAATTAGCTGTAACATTATAGGTTGGCCATGGGCCAGTCAGCTGTGATGCACTGTTGGGACTAACAGGGATCCTATTCTTTCTGCCTGAAGTTTGCTTTGTGATAAGACAGAGAGAACAGAGAAGAGAGACCAACAGTGAAGAAATATGATCCCTGCAGCATTTGAACACAACCAAACCGAAGCCCTTAGCCATGACAAGAGCTGACTGTCCAGGATGTAAAAATCAGAACTCAGCACTCTGAAGCTGCATTACATTCTAGACAACAAAAAGGTTGGTTTGCACCATACATGGGACAAAACAAGCTGGGCTGGAGCTGTTTGGACTCAATTCATTTAGAAGATGCTGATCTGCATATCTAAGCATATTAAATGGCTCATATCCCCAATGCTGGGAAATATTGCTCCCCACAGGGATTTCCTTTTGTAATCACATCTGATACTGAAGGAGGCCTGCTCTTATTCACACAATGGTATTGTTTTAATGTTAAGTATACTGCACACTGAGGGATTTATCTCCAGCATCCCTGAAGGGCAGTGAGGCTGAATCAGAGGGAAGGTAGAAGAATATGTCCTAGGCACATGGATGGTAGCCTGAAGGTTCCCATACCAGACTACTGCAAAGGCTACTACAAATATAACAGAATTCTTTATCAACTAAGTGGCAAAAACCCCCCTTCAAACATATTTTGTATCACATAAGCTATTTTGTGTATTATAATTCTAAATGAAGGCAAACACCTAAAACATTCTTTGCTTAAAGAATAAAACTTGTGGTATTTTACATTCGAGATCTTCTCTTTCAGAAGTTTAATACTGTATGACAATATTAAACCCATCATAAGGGTAGCTTTGTAGTCTTGCATAAAAGATTCTATCAACCAAATGATAGAATCCTTTAAAAATATTTTCCACTTTGTCAAAAGTACTGTCTTTTTTAAAGGAAGAAAGCTCCTGAAGAATGCCCAATTGTTAACCATGGTGACCTAGTCTGTCTATTAGACTGTATACAGGGAGCTGTAGTACAAGCTCTCCTACATTGCCCTATTTGCATTAATCAATCTCACTGGAGGGACTGCCACTGTTAAGGAAAAGGCAGGCTTCTATTTTCTCCTTGTCTTTTGTCTTTCTCCTGAAAAACCAAAGGAGTGTAATATCTTTTGGCAAATGGGCGAGAACTGACATCAACACATTATGATTCCATGGGATCTGTTACAAAAAAAATGGATGCCAACTTAAAGTGAATTCAACCATAATGAAAAGTGAAACTGGTAAACTGAAGCTGAATGAGTTAGTAAATGCCAAATCCCAACCATTCTCTCAAAACCTTCCAAATAACTTAGCTAATACCTGATATTATGCGTGATCTGGTCATGTATCACTGCTGTTTTTTTAAGTATTTTGTCCTCCGTTTCATGCACTGCAGTTTGCAATTTCAAAAGTTCCATTCTCTTTTCAGAAAGCCGCACCTCCACTGCCTTCTGCTGCTCTGACCGCTGCTTCAACTTGGTGTCCAAATGCATAAAAGGAAACAAAATTGCCACAGAATGAATACTGAAATCAAGGCATATATTATGTTTATTTTTAAAACAGCGAATAAAATATACTACATTAACCATCAAGTATTTCCAATAATTAATCTGGTTCAAACTAACTCGGCTACTGTTAAACTGGCTAGTATTCTGAATAAATGTTGGGCTTATCATATTTATATTTGAAACTAGACTAGATACATAAAGCCCAAGCGGTAGGAGACCATGCTTTTGGTGGCAAAAGATCTAAATATAATCCCTAAGTATATGGTTGGGACTTGAGTTTACTACATCTAATAGAAGTATTTGAAAAATGAGAAACTATTTGAAGTAACCATATATACCTGAATCCTGAAAAAACAGCAAAATAATATGAAAGGGGCAGCTGTGACCTGCAGACACTTAAACATGCCAGTAATTTTAAGCATGAGTAGTCTTATTGAAATCATCTGGGCTATTTGGACTGTTAATGTGTATAAGCACTTGTTTGACTGCAGTTTATGTAGTAACTGTATAAGCTGTAACTAGTAACTGTAAATGAGTATTAGTGATGATAGAAATGCTTGTATTAATGATCTGTATTTGCCTTCTTTTTTGTCTCTTATTCTTATTTTTCTGCCTATTATAACAAGATTTTACTTACAAATAGCTCAACAGAAATATAAGCTAAAAGTTATGATGATAATAAAAAAAATTATTTCCTAATCCACTGAATTCTAGCTACTGTCAGTAATAGTAAATATAACACTGATTTCTATTCCTGCCTCAAATAAAATTCAGTCCTCACAAAAGATGCTGATTATTCATCAGTGAACACCAGACACCATACCTTTGACTGTATCGCAAGGACTTTCTGTTCACTGTTACTCAGGTTGGTCTCTTGCTGTTTCAACTCCTGCTTAGCACAAAGTATCTCCATTTCTTTGTCAGATGTTTCTCTATATGCCTGTTCTTTCCTTTTCTTCAGTTGTACGATCTCTTCTACTAAGGCTGCTTTTCTTTAGAATGAAGTTCTAATGAGTGATAAAGTGATTAAGTAATAAAGTGATTAAGGGGTGCTTTTAATAATTTCAACTTTTTCCCACATAAATAGGTCAAGATTTTGCTAAACTTTTAAATCTTTTGACACCAGTTAGGAAGATTAATAATGTATCATTTTATCTAATATATCAGCCAATATTTTATTTGATCAAATTAATTAAGACTCTCTTCTAAATGCAGGAGAGAACTGTCCTAGCATAAGTAATTTTTTATGAATTAAATAGTTTTACTCCTCTGTGATACCCTCTATATGTTTTCTACTCTTCCTGACTCCTTACAATTGTCTCTTGCAAACTTTCTTCATTCAGTTACCCATGTTCAAGCATTATTCTGTAACCAACAGAGAAGACAATGAACACGGATGCTAATAATGCACAATATTAATTATATTCCCATTTTTTAAGATGAGCGATTTTAAATTGTTACATGGAAGGGAAAATGAGAGAAAAGCACATAGCTTCTTCATTTGTTATCAGAATCTTTATGTATTCATCTGCATAAGTATATTTAAATGATTCTCTGTGATGCTCCCTTCTAAGTAACCTTAATAAATGTATTAGCTTGAAATATATTTATATTGAAAATTATGATGAATTCTAGTCGAGATGGTGAAAGGGCAAAGTTACATTTGCATAATACTACAATGTCATTTTCTTAATAGTTGCCAGACATACTCCACGTTTGAAAAAATCCCTGATTGCTATGCTAAAAAATCAAGAAGAAGAAAACTAAATTGTAATATTATTTCCATTAAATTTATCAACAATCACTGAAAAAAAATTACAAAATACAAGATTGGACATGAGACTGCTTGGCCAATATTACTAATTCATAAAGATCATGTAATGTGCCAGCTAAGAAACAGTTATGATTTTACTGAAAACAAAAATAGGGAAAACTACCCTTTCACCCCACTTTCCATATATTTCCTCTGTCTTTTTAGAATACAGACTCTTGAGACAATGTATTTATCACATCTGATACTATTATTATTACAATGGAATAAGAATCTGAGAGATCTGGTCCCCATTTGCATCAATTAACTCTTCATGAGCTGACTAGAAGTGATGGATAGGTGGAAGCAGGGTCATAGAAGTTACATGCAGTAAGGTCACAAGTTTTACTTCACCCTTAAGACTGCAATATCTAGAGCAGCCCAGATCAAGGCCAGATGGAGAGGTTTTCTTCTTTTACTACACCCTAAACGCCCAGGAATCTTCCTGGTAATTGGACTGGATTAGTCCTAAAATTGAAAAATCAATAGCTATTCCTAAAATTGCTCTTAAACATGTGCTTAAATCCAGCAATTTTATGTCTGAGTTAATCTAAAAAAACTCAGAAAAAGAGAACTGAATAAACTGAAAAAACCCCCAAATCTTAGATGTATAGTTCTTGTGTGTTACTACTATGTCTGTTCTGCATACCGCTCCCTCAGATACTGACTGCTGATCTGAAGTGGTAGTACATTATTTTACCACTTGATGGTGCCAAATCTATATATATTTTAAACTGGTAATTTAAAAAATACAAATCTTGTTTTGCAAAAACGTTTATACTTAAATGTGAACATATTTTTTACTTTTTCTGAAAATGTGTACAAATTTATAGTATAATGGATATCTGTAGATACAACTTGTTTCAAATTTACTAACTCTGAATCCTTTTTCTTTCTTTATGTTTCTGATTATCTTTCCTTATTATTCACCTGTGACCACAGCAGGATACAAATCAGAAGAAGAGGAAATTGCAATGGTCATGTTTTTTTGTGTAAAATAAATTCATACTCACTAAAAAGAAACTTACAAGAAGGCGACTGTTTTAAATCCCATCATGGCAAGGAGCAGATTACATATTGACAGCCAGGACTATTTTAATTATTCTTTAACCACTAGATAGAAATTTCTGCTGAACTACACTATCCTTCTAATACAGAATATGAGTTCTATATATTGAAATATGCAACCTAGCTATCATGCGCAAAAAACTAACATAGATGAGTCTTGAAATATTTACTAATGATTATATTGAGACTCAATGATCTTAGCACTTAATTTATTACCTTCAAACATCTAAAATTCTTCACACACATCTAATTAGCCAGACGGACAGTACAAATTATTAACATTTTAACAGAGCCATTGCCTAACCCTCTGTGATTGAAGTCACAAGCTACTTATACCAGAAACCAAAAAAGAACCAAAAATAATGCAACATATGCATGCAATAATTCATTAAGCTTTTTTGTTTTAAAAACTGGGTTGCCCAAGTAAAATGGGGAATCATGTAACAGAGGTTCTCATTTCAACAAGATAGTCAATTTCAGCCTTTCAATACAGTAATCTGAAAGATATGAGTAAAAGATTTTCTTCCCAGGATCCAATCTTATACTTTCTGTTTTTGAGAAAGCTACTCTATTCCACAGGAAACCCCAACTTTTATGGTTTTCCTACCTGTCAGGTATCTCTGAGTTCTGCCTTCTAGCAACCTAGTCAACCACAGCTGTCACTTCCTTTGTTCAGTCTCTGTGGTGTAGGCTTCCCAGTTAGTAAATCCTTGTAAATGAATCTGACCCCTTCCTGGTTCAGTTAAGGATGGATTTTTTGCAGTTATTTATGAGCTGTAGATAATCCTTCACAATTACATATAAAGTATAATATGGCATTGGCACAAAACTATATTTTGGAATTAGCACAACCTAATTCCAATTTAGTACAATAAACACAAAATGGTTTACAAATTATAAGGATTCATCTGAAACCTAAGCAGCGTATTTCAAACAATCATACTCCTATTATTTAATGGATGGCTAACATATACAATATACTCATATTTTGTATGAAAGGAAAACATTTAAATCTACAAGGTATTTTTTCATATGTAGTCACCCTGGCTAGGGACAGAAGTTCCACATAAACTGGTTTAAGTCATCAGAAACTGGTTCAAACCTGTAACAGAACATAAAAACAGTGCACATACAGTTTCAAAATGGCTGAAACCAGTTTGAGATAAATCTGGTTGAATGTAATATCAGACTTAACTGATTGAGGTCAAACCGGTTTGTGGAAATTTTGTTTCTTACCTCTTCCTGGTTTAAGATAAATCAGAGTCCTCCAGCATCCCAGTAGCCCTGGGCTGGGCTGGGCAGGGCAGGGCAGGGCCGTCTGTTCCAGCCAAGCAGTGTTGGCCCTGCCCCCTCCTCCCCAGAGCACTGTCACTACTCCGACTGGCTGAGAAAGGGCTGGGGGTGCAAAACCCTGTAATGAAGTGCTGCTGGGTAGGCCTGGCAAGGGGGCAGCAGCCCTTGCCAGGCATCCCCAGTCCCCCACCCTCCTCACTGCTCCAGTGGCAGGAGCAGGGGTGGGGCCAGACCCCAGTAGCCTGGGGGGGAAGCAGGGGTTTAATCCCCCACATTGCAGGGGAGGGTTGGTGCAGGCACCGATAAGCTCATGTGGCCAGACAGTGATGGCCTAAGGGAAGGGGTGGGGGTTTAATCCCCCATTGCAGGCCAGTAGCAGTGCCGGCACTGACACCACGCCGGCTCTGTCCCATGCTGAAGATTGCCTCAGGTACGGCCTGTGCTGCAGTGCCTGGGTCGAGTTCCTCAGAGGAACGGCCAGCCAGCTGTGGGCAGTGGGAGGGGGCAGAAGGGATGTGACCTGGCTGCAGGTGCGCTGGTGGGGGGAGCCGGGGCTAGTTATGGAGCCTGACTCACTGTTGCCTCCTGCTGCAGCAGCGCAGCCTGAGCTGAGGCGGCACCAGGGGGTGGGGGTTAGCACCTGTCTCATCCTGCCTCCAGCCCCATGCAGGGGCTGCAGTTTGCAGGTGGCTGCAGCTGCAATGCAGCTCCCTGTCCCCCTCCCTCTCCCAGTGGTGGCGGCGGCTGAGCGAACTATCACAGTGGGGGAAGGTGAAGCACCTGTCATCTGCCACCTGCTCGTGGCAGCACCGGGCACTCAGGGTGTGGGCAGTGGTGGAGGAGGCAGTGGACCACCAAAGCCTGCCCTACGAACCAGGGTGTAGACAGCAACAGGCCCACAGCAGCCTGCCCCAAGCACCTGGTGCTGCCACAAGTGGGCAGCACCTGACAGGTGCCTTAACTCCGCCCACTGTGATGGTTCGCTTCACCACTGCCACCGCTGGGAGTGGGAGGTGTGAGTTGCTGCAGGCCAGTCCATGCTTAGGCCCCGGGGTCACAGGCCCAAGTCGGACCAGGCTGTGGTGGTCCATTGTGGTGGTAGCTGTGGCAGAGCAAGCTGTCACAACGGATAGAAGTGAAGCATCTGTCACCTGCCACCTCCTTGTAGTGGTGCCAGGCGCTCAGGGCAGGTTGCTGCAGGCTAGGGGAGTAGGCAGTGGCAGAGGAAGACAATTAATAGATTCATAGATTCAACATCTATGAACCTATGAATCGTCTATAGATCGTATATAGACAAGTCCTTCTTGAATCCTGAAAACTTCCAGAATCTTCTCAGTGAAAAGGTGAAACTTTATAAGAGATTAAAGAAAACACTTCATATAGTTCATATAATTGAGAGAAAAACCTTAGCATCATTCAAATATTTAAGAAAACCAAGAGCAGGAATAATAAAATAGAAAATAAAACAAAACAAAGACTTGGGCTATAGCACAAACCCTTTTCCTTCAAGATGCATCTCAATCCTCCATTACTGGGGTTTAGGAAGATATTCTAATTGTGGACAGGTTATTTAATAATTGCCTACTGCAGGATTTCTTCCACTTTGAAGTAAGGTACTGGTCACTGTTGGAGACGAGACATTGGATTAGTGGGACACCTGCTCCAATCCATTATGAAAGAAACCCACAGAATGATTCATTTGAAGAAGATGAGCCCTAGGTCCTATGTGAAAAAGCATGGAAGTCATAAGCTCTGTAGATTCAACCACTGGCAAAAAAAATTGTTTCTAATGGAACATCTTGTAGAAAGGACCAGCAAAGCATTTGCTATTTCTTAAGGCCTGAGCGTCTCCTAGTTAAGGAGCTGTTGAACACAGACAGGTTACCAGTTCAGGTCTTCTGTCACTAGTGGATAGAGGGAAATCATTGGACCTTTATTTTGCTGCACATCAGATGCCCCATTCCTCTGACAGCGAAGCAGACAGACCTGTCTGTCAGAATAACTAACCCCTACATTATCCTGGCTGTTCTGTCTTCCATTGTGTCTGTGACCTAAAAATACTTTTTCTTAATTTAAGGAACTTGATACCCTCTAAAGTGAGAAGCAGAAAGGAACTGGAGAATCAGGAGGCAACACACCTGTAAAAAGTAAAGGACTGGCACCATAACTGCTGCTCTCAAAAGCTGTAAACAGATTTCTCCCAGAAGAAAGCCTTTTCTCTCAGGATACTACAGACACTCACATCCACTTTCCTGCTGTAAATACCTGTGTGCCCTTGTTGGCTACCTACTGGCAGAGCAGCAGCAATGCAGCTTGGGGCCACATACAAACGTTGCATTTCTACTGGGAGAATCATCTTTCTTGCAGTAGAAATTAAAAGTATACAAGCATTCAGTCAATTTCCCCTGGAAGAAAAGGGTCAACCTGGAAGATCTCCCTTGCGAAAGATACTCTCACAAGAGTGAATGCTTGTATGGTCCCTGGAAAAGGCTGTGTGTGTAAATTGCTGTTCTACCCCTGTTTTTATTTAGGTCAAAACCCAGGACACTCAGGACCATCTCTAGTGATACACCTGTTTACAGTAAAATGGTCTTTCACTACCTGACAACAAATAAAAGGACACTTGCTCATGCTGGAGAGATCAAGGCAACTGAGATCTCAGTTGCCTTTCTCTGGAGTTTGCATTACTCAAACAGGTTAAAAAGATAAAGAGAGTGAATGCACATTCATGCATTGACATTTTGACTTCAACAGTATGTAAGGTCTTAGAACAGATATCAAAGGAAAGAAGTCAAAGATATGACTGCAAATGGAAAACATCAGAAATGCATGTTTATCTGAGGACAATCATGTTAGACAATTTAATATTCTCCCATGATAAAATCATGGATAAGAGCAATTCAGTTGACTTAATTTGTCTAGCTTTAAGGAAAGCTTTTGATACTGTACTTCCTGGGAAAATATTGTCCAAAGTAGATGAGGATCAGTGATACAATCATGAGGAGGATACAGAGTTGGCTCAAAGAGAAACTACAGTAGGTTATGCCGACTGGAGAATTTTATGGCTGGAGAGTAGTTGTCAGTGATGTTTCTCAGAGGTCAGTCTTAGGACACATCTTGTTTAACATTTTGTTATTAGCCTTAGTACAAAAACTAGATGTTTCCTCATGAAATCTGAAGATGACACTAAGTTGAGGGTAGTGCTGACATGAAAAATTTTAATAATCTTGTGGATGGAGCATTAGAAACAGAATGAAGTTTAGAAGTATAAGTGACAAGTCATGCACTTGGGGACCAATAATAAGAATCTCAGATATAAACTGGAGAAATACAGACTGGAAACAACTGAAGAGAAGACCTTGGGTGTACTGGTCAATTATAGGATTACCATGAGCTGCCAACATGATGCAGCTATGAAAAAGGCTAATGCAATCTTAGGGCATATTAGATAGGACATGCATGGCAGACAAGGCAAAAGTATCATTGTATAAGGCACTGATAAAACCACATCTAGAATACTGGGTGCAGCTCTTGTCATTAATGTTTAAAAAAAAAAAAAGAGCAGCAAAATGGAATGTGCTCAAAGAAGGACCACTAAGACTATTGAGGGAATGGAGTTCTTTCTTACAAGAGGTTTAAGAAGTTTGGTTTGTTTAGCTCAGTGATGGTCAACCTTTTGGCCCCATGGGCCAGATGAGTGGCACAGGACCTGTTTATGGGCAGATTGGGCCCTGGGGCCTGGCACCACTCCCTCCCTGCCCTGCACACAAGGATTGGGACCTGATGGCCTACCATCACTCCCTCTCTGCCCAACATGCTGGGATTGGGCCCTGGAGGCCTGCTGCTATCCCCATTGCACCAGGGTTGGAACTCCAGAGCATGGTGCCACCCACTCCCCACAACAGGCCTGGCACTGCCCCCTCCCACCACCATGCATGCTGGGATTGGGCACCAGATCCAGTTCACATGGCCCGGGGCTCCCCATGGGTCCAAAGATTTGACAGTGGGGGGCAGTGCCACCAATCTCCTGCTCCAAATTTCCAGACCCATGGGTAGCCCTGTGGGCCAAAGGTTGAGCTCCTTGGTTTACCTTAAATAATACAGAGCTTGATGGCATGTTAATCATATCCTCATATTATTACACCTTACAAGTACATTATTGGGGTGACTATTAGGGAAAGAGAAGAGATTGTAAGCTGAA